GTGTTCGGGTACTTAAAATTGTTCCTGCTATGAGCATGTATAGTGTCTACCTGTCTCGCCGTAAGCACTGCACCAGGTTTCCTCCCATCACGCTACGAAGAGCATGTATAAGGGGGTCCTCCGGCTTGCCACAAAAGCCAAAAAGGGCGTTTGAATTTAAATAGACTTATACTTGCACGAGGGGGTTGATGGTGACAAAAATATATAAGTATTTTTTACTATTTTCTTTTCTTTTTCACTCTTTTTTTTTTTTTACTAATTTTCATTTTGTTTAGCTCTTTTCCTTTCACTTCCTCTCCTTTTTATTTTTTCTTCCTTGCTCTCTTTATTCTCTCTCTTTATATATGCACATTTATATATCCAGCAACAACAATGGTGCAAACAAATAACATCGACTTGTTGTACAAGTAAAAACACCAGTTTTAATTAATTATAGTGATTAATACTAACTAATAAGATAAAATAAAATGATACGAGGAACTGGGCCTTGAGTGGGCTGTTTGAGCTTGAAGTGGACTGGGCCTTGGGCATTAGAGGGTAGGGAGGTGGTTGATTTTAATGGTGGGTTGAATTGGTAAAGTTGTGTAGGTGTATATGGGCTGCTTGGTCGAAGTTTCAGATGGGGAACAGGACATGTGAAGCTACAGTTGCGAGCAGTTGAGGGAATCGTCTAGGGAATGTCTGCTTCAGTAGTAGAGCTCGACGGGATCAATCGGAGGGCGGAGGTCAAGTGGATCGGACAACTGGAAGGCAATAACATGAATATTGGCGTGCGATTGGAAATCTGGAGCAGATTTTTGTTGAAGATTAAAGGATTGGCTGTTAGTAGAGGCGTTCGGCTGATGTGGACGGGTATCAGGCATTCAAATTGTTGAAGGGAGGTGAAATCGAAGGTCAGAATCTGCTTAAGCGGAAGAAGTGGGGGAATCGACTGAAGGTTCGCTTGTTCTGGGGATTTGAACAGGAGAAAATTGACGGGTGAGGAATACAAGAGCTTGCGGGAGTAGAGTTGCAGAGTCGGAGAAGAGCAAAAATAACTTGTTCTCTTATGTTTTAATGACGATAGAGAGGCCTGATCGAGGTAAACAACGGGATATTTGGGAAGCGAACGCAAAGCAGAGCAGTGCATTCGGTAGGATTTACGGGATTTGATCAGGGATTTTGACTCATCCGTGGTAATAGATTTGATTTGAGTAATTATAATAATATTATCACGATAACATCAACAATAACAACAGCAAGCCTTTGTCCCATTATGTAGGGTTGACTACATGAATCATTTTTCTCCATTGTGTCATGTTAAAAGTCAAATTCTCGTTTAAATTTAATAAAAAAAGATCATTTCTAATATTTTATAGCCAAGTCTTTTTAGGCTTACCTCTACCTTTCTTAACATAAATTAAATATAATGCATCTACTTTCCTAACCGGGTCATTAGAAGGCCGCCGTTTAATGCGACCAAACCATCTAAGGCGACTCTCTCTAATCTTGTCTTCCACTGGCACTACTCCAACCTTTTCACGTATATGCTCATTTCATATCCTATCTCTAAGGGTAAAGCCACTCATCCACCTGAGCATCCTCATCTCTGCAACACTTAACTTAGTATTGTGCTTTTCTTTTAATGGCCAACATTCGGCTCCATAAACCATTGCAGGTCTCACCACCATCTTATAGAATTTTTCCTTAAGTTTGAGGGGGACTTTTCTATCTCACAATAAGCCCGATGCATTCCCCCACTTCAACCATCAAACTTGAATTATGCTGATAATATCCCCATCTATTTCACTATTACTCTGAACAATAGATCGAAGATATCTTATTAATGATTTGATCGCCCAAAGTCACAATCCCCTCACTAGGTCTATTACTGCTAAAATTACACTCCATATATTCGGTTATAGATCCACTCAAGCGAAAACCTTTAAACTCTAAGGCTGACCTACATAATTCAAGTTTACCTTCAATTTCTTCTATACTCTTATCAACAAGAAGAATATTATCAGCAAAAAGCATATAATAAGGTACATCCTCTTGCAAATGTCTAATGATAACATCTATGATAAAAGCAAAAAGATACGGACTTAAGAATGATCCTTAATTTAATCCAACTAAAATAGGAAAATACTTGGTCAAACCACCTTATGTTTGAACATAAGTAATAACTCATGCATACATATATTTAATGATTTGAAATAAGCGTTATTAACTCCTTTCTTTTCAAGATGTCTCTATAGCACTTCTCTTCGAACTTTATCATATGCTTTCTTTAAATCAATAAATATTATATGTAGATCCTCCTTATTTTCTCTATATTTCTCTATCAAACCTCTCAACAAATGTATGACTTCCATAGTAGACGACAGGCATGAATCCAAATTGATTTTAAGAAACATTAGTATCACGCTGCAACCTACGCTCCATAACTCGCTCCCATAGTTTTACAATATGACACATTAACTTAATTCCTTTATAATTTACACAATCTTGTGCATCACCTTTATTCTTAAAAATAAGAATTAACACGCTCATTCTCCACTCATCTGACATATTTTTAGTCTTCAAAATTGTATTAAAAAGTTTAGTAAACCAAGAAATTTTTTCATATCCCAAGCATTTCAAACCTCTATTGGAATATCATCAGGTCCAATAGCTTTTCAACACTTCATTTTCTTTAAAGCATCTCTCACTTCGGTTTTACTAATACGCCTATAAAAGCAGAAATATTTATTTTCATTTCGGGTGCTAATGCCACTAAAGTCAATCATATTTTCACATTCTTCATTAAAAAGTTTAACAAAACATCTCATGCATCTTTGTTGAATATCATTTTCGAAGAAAAATATTTTTTGATCTTCATCCTTAATACACTTCACTTGAACTAAATCCTTACTACTCATATATACACTTCACTTGAACTAAATCCTTACTACTCATATCTCTTTGTTTGGTTAACTTATACATATATCTTTCTCCCTTCTTAGTATCTTATATATTATATAAATTATTAGGATATAAAATCTTAGCATTGCATATTATTTTTTTAGATTTCTTACGTGCCTCTTTATATATATCCCAATTATCAGAATTTTTACATCTAAACTAATTTTTATAATAAATCTCCTTATTTTTTATATTTTCTTGCACATTTGGGTTCCACCATCAACTATTCCACCACCAATTATCAGAATTTTTATAACAATGATAGTATGATTATAATGAGATGAATTAGAAATTTTCATGTCTTGAAATTCATGCGTCAATGATTCAATTTGCGTGCCGTTGCCTCGATATGCACGCCGAATTTGCTGTACGATTTTGATTGGAAAAACTGATAGTTATTTTGGGTATTGATGACGTTTCGAATTTAACGACAAAGTTCATTTCACTATCGAACATCATTTGGGCAACGTGGTGCGTCAATTTCGGGTGTTGGTTGTCCCTTTTGATCGATCTCGTCCGATTTGTTTGCAAGGGGTTCCCTCTTAGGCGAACTCAACTTCCTAATTGCAACAACGTAGTTTGTTTGGTAATCAGAAGTTATTTGCCCCTTTAAGTGACGCATCGTGCTGACACTCGTCTATTTTTTCCCTCCTTTTGCGTGTTTTCGATGTGTAGGGGTCAACAACACTGAAGGTTAGAAGCGGGATCGGGGTCAAATGCAAGGGATTTGTGGGATCGAAGCTATTGTGGGCGCAGATGGATATGAGCCTTGCGGCTTTGAGATCGGGTCATACAGGTTGACGTAGAGGTGCGGGAGATGGAGACAGGTAGGGCAGAGGAAATAGTCTTTCTGTGGCTATGAGGAGATGAAGGTAGTTCGGGTATGGGAGGTTTGACGTAGGGATTGCGACGGGTAAAGGTCAGATGGGGCTTATGGGATAGGTAGATAGATTGGAAACGAATGAGGCGGAGCTGCTCGTGTGCGAAGAAGCAGGAAAACGAGCGAAAGTTTTGTTTCATTCTCGTTTTAACGATGGGAGAGATCATGTGGAGCACGACTAGGCAGTGCGAGGCTTGTCTTTGTCATGCAGAGGTTTTGAGTGGCACGATGTCGGACGGTATGTAAGATTTGAGCTGGATTTCCGCAGTCGTTCGGAGAACGATGTTAAATAGGTACGTGACGTATTTTAGCAGGTTTTCTGAGTTCCATGTCTACCTTCAACTCCATCTCTAGTATTATCAACAAGAAGAATATAATCAACAAAAAGCATACACCAAGATACAATCTCTTACAAATGTCTAGTGAGAACATTCATGACTAAAGCAAAAAGATGTATTAAGCTTGATCCTTGAATACAAATACATCTCAGTTGAAAAAAAAATATTAAGCTAATGAGCTCTGCATAAATACCACACAATCCTAACTCTAAAAATGAATGTACAGAATAGATTACGAGATTAAGCTACAAGTTAAGAACTTTTGCTTTTGGTTCTTGCTTCTTTGGTTTTGGTTTGAGAGAGTATATGTAAGTTCATGCTTATACCTTGATTCATTGCTTGATTTTTCTAATCTAAATTGTACATAAACAGAATCAAAAGTACAAAAGAGCATCACAAGCACCTACATATTTCCACTTAATATTTTCCTATTTCACTTTAAGCCTGTGTGCAGTTGGCAAACGGGTGTTTGTTTACCGTTAAGATCCTACAGAACTTAATGATCATTTTGCTAGCAGAAGCTTGAAAATACTTTTAAAAACATCAACAAACATCAAGCCTTTGTCACACTATGCGGGGTTGACTACATGAATTCTTTTTTTCCATTGTGTCTTGTTAAAAGTCAAATTCTCATTTAAATCTAATAAAGAAATATCATTTCTAATATTTTCTAACCAAGTTTTTTAGGTCTACCTCTACCTTTCTTAACATAAGTCAAATCTAATACCTCTATTTGTCTAACCGGGTCAACAGAAGGCCTCCGTTTAATGTGACCAAACCATCTAAGGCAACTCTCTCTAAGCTGCCGTTTTATGTGACCAAACCATCTAAGACGACTCTCTCTAATCTTATCTTCCACTTTTAAAAACATCAGCTTACCAAATTATAAAACTTTCATTAGCAAAGTTTATCAAGAATATATCCATATAAACAATTATGTACTGAAATCACCCATTTCAGAAGAAAACAAGGAGCATATAATTCCAATTTCACCAACAAATTCACAACCATTGATGCTCGTATTGACATGGCTGCAAGATTTCTGCACAAATACGACAGAAACACACTGATACAGATATAAAGAAACATCAATTTGTACCAAATATAAAAGCAACAAAACCTTGTATGTAATCTGAACTCAAATATCTGTAGTGAAAAATTTTCTTTCCAGCACTCAGTAATTCATCCACCAAAAGCAACTCAATTAAACAATTCTCAAACTATACAACCTGCTTAAAATAGAGCCAGAAAGCCAAATTCCTAACTTACACTATGGATTTGGAAAAAGAGAAGCAGATGAAGAAGAGCAGGAGGATGATGATATCTCAACAGACCCATTGTATCTGAGCTCTTCTATCATCTCCTCAATGAACTCCTCATCCATGCATACTTCTCCCTCCCCTTCCATCTCCACCTTAGCTCTCCTCATCTCCTCTTGAGATGTAATGCAGCATCTCTCCAGCTTCGCAACAAGGCTCGGCGATAAGGCCGATGCCGAGTTCGAATTTGGCGGGAAGTTTGTCCTCGCATTTGAACCGCACATGAGCCTGGCCGCCTCATCGTAGGCCCTCGCCGCATCCTCCGCCGTCTCGAAGGTCCCCAGCCAAATTCTAGTTTTTCTGCAATCAATGAGAAAATGAAGCTTGCAATTGTCAAAAATTTGACTTTCAGAGGAATTATAATGCAGAAGAATGGTGATAATTACAGCAAAGGATGCCTGATTTCTGAGACCCAAGAGCCCCAATGCCTCTGCCTCACTCCTCTGTATCTCAGCAACTTTGGCATCTGAGCTAACTCAAATGAAGAGAAGCTTCAACGACTTTACTTAACTGATTTGATTTCTAGTGGAGGGGTTGGCCTCTCCCTCCTCTCTCAATTTATGTAGAGAATGGCTCAAATGCAATGACTAATATATCCCCTGCCTTTAGTCTATTTGACTATTTGTCGATCGTCTAAGTCCAAATTGGCCTCACCAGATTTGGACTAAGAATACAATTATCCTAGCCATCCGATCAGGATAGAAAAAGCTGGGGATGCATCACAGCCATCCAATCAATTGAGGACCATGAAGAAAGGCCTCTGGTGTAATATAATGGATATAAAAGGTTCATTAGATATGGAAGTAGTGCAACTATAGATATATATATTATGTGTGACCCATGTGTTTTGGTTGGTTCAAAGTTAATAGAATTTTGTCAGCTAGTGAACCCTTCAGGAGCTTTTGGGCCCTACATGGCTTAGTGAAGTCTCAAGCATTGTTATTTAGGCTAATTTAATTGCTCATAGATAGATAATATATATAAAATAAGGATTTTTTAGTGTAAAAATAAAAGTATCATATTTAAACTTTTAATTAGAAGATGAGTATTAAATTTAAAGTCAATCTTATTTTCAAATTATATTAAGCTAAATGACAAATCTTTTGGGAAGAGTCGAAAAATTATTATTATTTTTATAGTTATCAGGCTTTAACAGATCTAGTTGTATTAAAAATTAATGATCACAGAAATTTCAAAAAAATAGTAAGAAAATAATAGCTTAATAGTAGTGTAACAATGATCAGAAAAAAGAAGCAAAAAAATTATACCGCATTTTAATAGATATAGTTGTAAGAAACCACTGATCATAGAAATTAATGAAGAGATAGCTAAACAACAATGTAACAATGATCGTAAAAGTAAAGCGCCCCCATATATATATATATATATATATATTCTATGTTCTAATTAGTTAATTCAAATTGAGGGACGGATGTATTTTGAAAATTAGTTTTTTAAAAATTATTTGATTTGAAATGAGAGAGAGAGAGAGAGAGAGAGAGAGAGAGAGGTTCACATGGAGCCATTTTCTTAGCACATGAGAGGTTTGGCCTAGTGAGAGAGGGTGGCTTCAAGGGACCAAAGGAGTGGGGACACTAAATTGAGTATATAGTGAAAGGCATAACAAGGAAGCCCATGTGAGAGGAGAGGAGACGTTTGATAGATTTTGGTGCTATTTTAGGAGCACATGAATGAATTCTGTTGCCTTGAATATCTGACCACAGAAATAAAAACAAAAATCTTATTTTATTAATACAAATTCCTCACATGATGATATCCTAAAAATGTTAATATATAATTAAGTCATATTTTCTCATAGTATAAAATATTATGCTTCGATCAATCAAATTGTATTCTATACGAGGTTAAATGTGTAATTAAAAAAATTATTTACAAAATCTATTATTATTATTTTTTGTGCAAAAAAAAAAAGAAGAAGAAAAGTTTCTGCATAAGACAAAGAGATTAGCATAATTGTCAGCCTTATGTGGATGTTTTTGTAAGAGTAAAAATAATTAGAGGGCCAGCAGTGAAGCAGAGAAGATGGATTGCTCAAAGAGACGGTGCAAAGCATGTGGAGGGGAAGTGTACAAAAAGCATAAATTTATAAGTCTCGATGCTTTGGAGAGTAGCCCTGATATCTAGGGGGGATGCATGTATTGCACATGCTTGTGCTGCATAAGCTCAACAAGTTTGCTTGCCATGTTGAAATTAGAGGCTTGATTAAGATTGTTTTTATGATGCTTTGATACTTTGTTTGTTTTCCATAATATTCATTTAAAATGTTGTTTAGAACAGTTTGTCTGTTTCGATGAGCACAAAGGTGACATTCATTTGCATTTTTCTATGATGCAAAATTGTTGGACGAAGCCTATTTTTTGCAAGGTTTTCGAGTTTTAGGATTTGTTTGGACTAGTTTTCTCAATGTTTTGTTTTTTAGATTTATGTTTTGCTCTTGCTTTATCATTTTCTTTTTGATTTCTATGATAGGAAATTGTTTCTTATAATCAGATATGTTAGAGCGTGATAGTTATAAGAAAATTAATATTTAGAATACTGATAATAGCTTTTAAGAAAATAATTTTCTTCATAATAGTTTTGAAATCAACTTTATGCTTCATTTGACATAGCTTTTTTACTGCTTTCTAGTACAAAGGCTATTAAACCCGAGCTAAACATTGATCAGAAGATAGAACAGTCTTTCGAGAATTTTATAGATTGATCATTTTCATCTTCCTCTAACTTACTATGTGATCAATCACCAATGAAGCCCAATCACTATCTATATCAAGAAAGGAAAAACAAAGGAGTCAACTCATCTAACTTGTTCATAGAATCAACTTGAAGTCCTAAGGCCTTAGGCCCTTAGCAGGCCCTCAAGAGGCTCTTTCTACCATTTAAAACATTTCTTAATCATCATTCTCAAGAAGATCACCCATAAAACAAGAATATCTAGTGTATCCAAAGAGGCCAAATGACTTATGAATTGTCTCGGGCTTGGTCGTTAAATAACATGTTAGGTTATTTGGTAAGCTTGAGGAACTAACAAGTCAAATTTGAGCTATCACTAACTTGACTAGTTAGCTCGTATGCCGATTCATTTGAAAATATAATTAAAATATATTAAACTTCAATATTTTAAGTACTAACTCAACTCATAGAAAGTGTATAAAAATTTTATGATAATTTTAAATATCCAATGATTCCCTGAACCGATCAAATTAAGCTCATAATTTCTTCGAAAAAGAGGTTTTTGTTTTAAATTTCTTTTGTAAATATGTCCCTACCTGTTATTTCTTATAACAAAAGTCATTATAGGAGTAAATGCTCTAAGGCACTTGAAGAACAAATAAAAATATAATTTGAGAAGAAATGGTTGCCAATCCTCCATGTTTGGAGTCAAAATTTATTAATTATTTTGGATAATATTTGATTTAAAATTTTTTAGATTGGTGGCTATCATAAAGTCCTAATTAGAGGTTGTGATAAAGTATTATGCATGGTTTGGACCGACTTTCTTATTGCTTCTTAAAGCAACTTTAATTTTTGTACTAGAAAGCTGTTTTAAGAACAAGCCTTCCCAAATGAAGTCTTAAATATAGACAAAGTCACAAATGTAGGATACGATAAAGTTTTAAATGGAGGCTACTATAAAAATTTAAAATGGAAGATTCGAAAGTTTTCGATGGTGCTTGATCATTAAATGATATAAGGCGAATTCTTCGCTATATACATCTATGTTATCCTCACCTATATGGCAGTGGTGGTGCAAACGAGCCAACATGCGAGCCTGCTCGAACTCAACCTATTAATAAGCTTGCGTGTCGAGCTTATTGTGTTTCAAACTCGAGCTAGAGTGGTCGAGCTCATTGCGTAATCGAGCTTGAGATTTGTTCTAGCAGATGCTCGGCTCAATTACTCGTCAAGCTGCTTGATTATGTGTGTTCGGATTGGTGGACCGCATATGCGAACTGGTGAACCAAAGAAGGTGAAGCGTAGAAAAAAACCACTGATGAGAATTGGCTAAGCGTGTGCGAAAGGGAAACCACCGAAGGCGTGATCTCACGAGTTTGAAACACAATGGCACGAGTTCGCATATATGTATTATTGTATATATGTATTATTGTTAGGGAATGATGAACCAAATACTATGGTGTTTATACATTGCAAACCCTCGCAAGGCGCTGCCCCTGGAAACTCCGGCAGGGGCGCTGCCCCTTGACCCCGCGACCTGATCAGGCAGGTCGAATCCAATATATGAAAATAAGCAACAAAGAGATGAAAGGAAGAGAAAAAGATAGATGTCATTCGAGAAAGAAATGAAAAAAAGTATCCGGTTCTTATAAGTGGAGTTGTTCTGCTTTTCCACGAAGAACGAAGTCTAGCCCTTAAGTTAAGAGTACTCTTTCTTCTAACGAGTATGAATGCATCCAGTAAAAAGAGAAGTCCACCTATATAGCATAGCAGAATTGAAGTAAAATACCAATCAGACCCATCGAGCTTAGGGTGGTTGGTGGGTGAGCACGATTGGGAGACTACGGCCTCACCTCTTAAGTGGGGGCAAAACAAGTGTGTGCCCGATGCCGGTGGGTGGCCTCGCTAGGTTTGCCGAGGGATTGGTACTCCCTTTAGAGTGACAACGTGTAGATACCCTTGTTAAAAAAAAAAAAAATCAGATATTCCTTT